CCGAAGGCTGTAAACAGAACATCGAATCTTGAAACACTTCCATGATCTTCACCGGATTATCACAATCTGATACTTTACAGTCAAGAAACTTGCATTTACCGTGAGACGCAAGGCACTGGTTTATAATCTCTCCTCTTATAGATCCATCCAATTGCGGCCTTGAACCTCCAACGAACGAAAACAAATATCTTCTCTTTACCTTCCTCACTTTCCTCTGCCATCTTTGTATCTCGGTTAAGCTCTTCGGATGGAAATAAGTCGGATAAGGAATCGCAATTTCGTTAGTCCAAGCAGTTGTTTCGATAGCTAACATTGTCATATTGGAGAATTCGGGTAATGTCATCAGTTTGCTTCCCCAATCTGAATCTTTATCGAAATACCTCCTGAAATCCCAACCGATCCGTCCGGTTACAAAGAAGTGATCTCGACCGTACATCTTCTTCCATTCGGGTCTCTCTCTTAGCCATCGAGCCAGCTTTATCGCTAATTCGTCTCTAACCGTCACATTGCATCCCCATAGGTAACGCCCCACGTCGAATCCCGCGTAGTACGGGACATAGACCGCTGAGGCTAGAGACGAATCGTTGGTTAAACACTCGTAATGTTTCATCCTCTCTCGAAAGATAACCGCGAGCAAGAATTGATTCGTTGAATACCAAGAACCGGTTTTCGCAGTCAAGACTCGAGCTGTGGCGTTATCGGACTCTGAAACCCGTGGACCGAGGCCGGAGTTGACCATGAATGGACACATATTGAACCATTTGATGAGTGTTCTACAGTTTTTGATGATATCGTCATTGAATATGCTTGGAAGATTGTACATATAGATGTACCTTGCTGCGCAAGTATCTGTTTCTTCTTCCAGCTCGGACTGTTTCGGTTCGATTTCATCATTCTCGGTGAGATTTAGGGTTTGATGTGAAGAAGAAGCGATGGAGATGAAGAAGTTGTTTACTTGATGAGTGATTTGAGGATTTTTTCCGATCAAATCTGATTTATGGATTTGA